ATGTATTGTGTGTGGTAGCCTCGGGTTACTGACGGGGGTGGGTGGGATTCACGGGGGGGCACGGGGGTTGGGTAGTGGGATCGGGTATGCGCGGTAGGCGGTAGGTTAGGTTTGGTTTGGGATGGGGTGCGGAGCGGGTGGGGGTTGGTTGTACTTGAGGGGGTTATGGTCGGGTTAGGTGCGGGGCCGGTGTGGGTACCTCGTGAATGGGGGTTTTTTCTTTTCTTGGGGTAGGTGAGGTCAGGGGGGAGCCGGGGTGGGGGCGAGGAGGTAACTATTAGAGGTTTTACCGCTAATTTCGGGTGCGAATCAGGTCTGCGAGGAATCTTGACTTAGATGTCTGTGCTCTTCTTGGAAGTATCTAACGGAGCGGTGTCGTTTGGGGGTGTGTTTTTGGATATACCCTGGCAGCATACACCTTCAGGGTGGTTGTGATGGCATACGTGTTGGGGTGGGGTACAATTCACGCGCAGGTAAGGGTTTGGGGGTAGGGCGTGATGTTGCGAGGTCGGGGGGTGGGGTTTTAGTTTTTGGGTGGGGGGGGGGAGGGGGTAAAATAAGGGGAGGTGGTGGGGGGGGGTTGTATGGGTATTGGTTTATGTGTGTTGTGGTGGGGAGGGGGGGGGCGGGGTGGATGGCGGAGATGTGGGGGAATGGATATTTTATTTGCATGGTTTTGTTTGTGGTGTGTTTCTCTAGTTTGAGGAGGTGGAGTTATTTATTTTTATTTTTTTATACTTTTTTGTTTGGGGCGGGGGGGGGGGGTTTTTATATTTTCTTTTTTTCCTTTTTATTTTTTTGTTTAGGTTTTTGGTTTTTATCTTCTTTTTTTTTTTTTTTTTTTTGTATTTTCTTTGGGTTGGGGGAGTTGGGGGGGGGGGAGGGGGTTTTTTGGGCTTTGAGGGGGGGGGGGGGGGGGGGGAAACAAAACCACGGAAAGGAAAGGGGGGCAAAGAAAAAAAAAAGGGGTTTTTTTTTTTTTTTTCTTTAAAAAAAAAAAAAAAAAAAAAAAAACAAAAAACAAAACAAAAAAAACCCCACCCCACCATAAACAAACATACAAACAAAAAAAAAAAATTTTTTTTAATATTTTTTTTTTTTATTTTTTTTGTGATTTTTCTTTATTTTAAAAAAAATCAAAACAAAAAAACACAAAACGGGTTGCAGGTAGGGGGGGGGGGGGGGGGGGGGGGGGGGTATTATTTAGTGGGTTGAACAGGTAAAAAAAAAAAGGGGGGGACCTCATTTTGTTTCACACGTCACATTTTTTTACTTTTTTTCTGGTTTCCACCACACCCCCCACCCCCCCGGTTATTTTTTTCACTAAGTTTTGTAACAATTTTTTTTTGGGCAAAAAACTCAAAAAAAAACCCAACGAAAAACCCCCCAAAAAGGGGTTTTTTTTCCCCCCCCCCCCCACCCCCCCCCCCCCCACGCCCCCCCCCCCCCCCCGGGGGAAATTAATTTTTTTTTTTTAATATCCCGGGTTTTTTTGGGCGGTTTGTTTTTGGTTCTTTTTCCTTCACCAGGGGCCCCCACCCCCCCCGGGGGGAAAAAAAAAAAAATTCCCCCCCCACCGGGGGGGGGGGAAGTTTTTTTTTTTTTTTTTGGTGGAAAAGGGGGGGGGGGTGGGGGGGGGGGGGCGCGGGGAGGACAGGCGGGGTGGTGGTGGGGGGGGGGGTGGGGGGGGGTGGTTTTTAATTTTTTATATTATTGTTTTTTTTTTACCCCAAATAAATAATTATTAATAAAATTATTAAAAATTTAAAATAAATCAGGGCCTTTAATTATAGGCCCCTTTTTTCATTATATATTTTTGGGAGGGTGCCCCGGGGTTGTGGGGGGGGGTCCACAGGACAAAGGGGGGGGGGGGACAACTGGGGGGAAAGGAAAAGGTGAAAATAAAAAAAAAAAAAAAAAAAAAAAAAACTTAAAAAACAATAAAAAAAAAATAAAAAAAAAAATTGTGGTTTTTCGTGGGGGGAGGACCCTCTATAGAAGGTGTTTTTTTTTTTTATTGGGGTTAATATTTTTTTTTTCTTTTTTGCGGGGGGGAAAGGTGGAAACTTGAGGGGTGGGTGGGTCTTATTCTTAGTGTGGTGAGCATTTGTTCTGTGTTGTGGGGGGGGGGGGGGAGAGCGGTTTAAGGGATTTAGGGGAGGGGGAGGTATAGGGGGGTAGAAGGTGGTTAAATAATATAAAATTAATTTGGGTGTGTGGGTATTAAAAAAAAGTTAATTTTATTAAACCCAAAAACAACAAAATTTCTTTCTTTTTTTTTCAACAAATAAAAAAAAAAAAAATAAAAAAGGGGGAAAAAAAAAATAAATATATAAATATACCACTTCTTTTATTTTTCCCGCGGGGGGTTTGGGGGGGGGGGGGGGGGGTTTTTCATTTTTTTTTTTTTTTTTTTTTTTTTTTTTTTAGGGGGGTTTTATTTTATTTTTTTTTTTTGGGGGGGGGGGGGGGGTGGGGGGGGGGGGAGGGGGGGGAGGGGGGGGGGGGGGGTTGGGGGGGGGGGGGTTGGGGGGGAAGGGGGGGGGGGGGGGAAAATTGGGGGGAGGAGGGGGTTTGAGGGAGAGGGGGGGGGGGGGGGGGGGGGTGGGGGAGGGGATGGGGGGGAGGGGGGGGGGGAGGGGAGGGGGTGGGGGAGGTATAAACAAGGGGTGTTTAAGTAAAAAAAAATTTAATAAAAAAAAAAACTATATCAAATTCGGTTTGGGGGGGAGTAGTTGGGGGGTCAATTAATTAAAAAAAAAAAAAAAATCAAAAAAAAGGGGGGCGGGTAAAAAAGGGGTTTTTTTACACACTCACCATAACTGTGGGGGGGGGGGTTCTTTTTTTTATATAGGGGGGGGGGGGAAGGGGGTTTATCTTCTATTTCCATTTCAAAACCAACATTTTTGGGGGGGGGGAGGGGGAGGCACAAAACCAACCCCCCCCCCCCCCCCCCCCCCCACCACCCCCCACAAAACCCCCCCCCCCCCCCCCCCCCCCCACCCCCCCAACCACCCCCCCCCCCACCCTCCCCTTTTTTTGGGGGGCGGGCCCCCCCCCCCCCCCACCCACCCCCCCCCCCCCGCCCCCCCCCCCCCCCCCCCCCCCCCCCCCCCCCCCCCCCCCCCCCCCCCCCCCCCCCCCCCCCCCCCCCCCCCCCCCCCCCCCCCCCCCCCCCCCCCCCCCCCCCCCCCCCCCCCCCCCCCCCCCCCCCCCCCCCCCCCCCCCCCCCCCCCCCCCCCCCCCCCCCCCCCCCCACCCCCACCCCCCCCCCCCCCCCCCCCCCCCCCCCCCCCTAATAAAGGGGGCCCCCCCCCCCAAAAAAAAAAAAAACCACCACCCAAAAAAAAAAACAAACCCCCCACCACCCAAAAACCCCCACCCACCCCCCACCCCCCAAAATAATTTAAAAAACACTAATATATATTAAAATTAATGGGAGGGGGGGGTTATGCCCCCCCCCCAACCCCCCCACCAAACCCATTTTTTCCCCCCTCCCCCCCCCCTTTTTTTTTTCTATGAGTGATATGCCCGGCAGTGTGACTTCAGCGTCTGTCCTTCCACGGTGTAACCACGTCTCCTTGACACCGATGATATCGCATGGCTCGGAAATTTGATAATCTTTTAGTTCTGCCAGATTATTGAATAGACCTTATACACTGGTATAAAGAAAGGATAGTTTCTCCGTATCTAGGAGCCCAAAGAGAGCCAAAGGAGACAAGTGTGGTAGAATGCCGACCGCTGTAACGTCGGCCGTTATTCGTTTTTAGATGGGATGATGGAGACAAGTTCGCAAACTGATTTGGCCGAGGTACGTCCCGTTCCTCTTTCTGACATACTGCAGAATCGTTTGACCGAACAGTAAAGTGATGCTCCAACTTTATCGCTGGTAGGTTTGTCTTTTCAATTGGGCTCAGGTCTGGTCTTTGCAAGACTACAGCGGGTTTTAACCGAAGTTCAGAAGGAACTCTTTTACCGTGCCTCCGCCAGGGTCCTACCACTTCCGTCACTGTCTGCTCTTACTGAACCTGTAGGTTTAGAATTCTTGGTCCGCTTCCTCCATACTTTGGTGTGGGAGGTAGCCATTTGAGTGATTACGCCACAACATTGTCCAAGGAAACTGTTTCACGAATGAACCGCCATTGTTCGATATTGTGATTCCCGGCCTCATGACTATCGTGTAAAGTACGTTCTGGCATGCAATGAATAAACCTTGTACTTACACAATTCAGCTTGCCCTGTCCATCTGAGATGTTGCTTTTCGCTTGACGCGTGTTCCATAGGTCCGCGGGATAGGTAGGTACCTTACAAGGCACATGTTTTAGCGCACTTGCAGAGTGTAAATCGTTTGTACATAGTGGCTGATTCCAGTGTTCCCGTAAAAATTCTGAGTTCCCCATGGTGTACAGATTTCGGGTGACGAGTAACTGTCACTAGATTTGTGGGTTTGGCTTTACATTCATCAAAATGCCTAGTGAGTTCCACTAGTCTTTGTCGTCAGACAGCTTAACCCATCAATTTACCCCTTTCAGCCATGTGCACTCGCAAATAGACACACGCATGAGTTTTCGACAGTTACCGTTTCAGTGCTGAACTTAGCTGCCTGCATTCGTAATGCGCTGCTGTTTTGACAAGACACCCGCTGCTATTGGTTCTACCAACATCACCAACGAGAGGCCGAAGTAGACCAACCAATCAGAACGGTTCGCCTTGCATATTTTCTCTTCATTACTCACTCACCTTTCAAGTAGCTCAGCTTCTTTGCTATAGGCACTTCTCAATACTACTGCCAGCTATTAGGCTCTAGTGAACTCAGTTTTTGGAGTCTTGCTAAACTATCTCTTAACACAGCTCTTGTTTTGCTTTAAACCTAATGCATTATGGGCCTTACAAAGCGCGATCGTGTTCGATAGACTAGAGGAAATGCATGTTTCAAGCCACGAAGCACAGGCTTAGAAACATAAGAGTTACTAAACCACAAGCTTACTCCACTGCAAACGCTAAGATTATCTCAGGGCTCACTAATAAAAATTGCTCATTGGAATCGCCAATTGCCGGTATGAGAAAAATATTGAAATTTATTGAAACCCACAAATTTCATCTATTATCCACGGATTGCATTAGTATCTCTTCGGTTAAAACAGAACCGGTTCTACTGATGGTAGCAGCACAATTAATAGTCTCTATTGCGTCCGAAGTACACGAGCGATCCCACAGAATGTATAAAAGGATGGCTTTTAACATACCAGACAAATTCAGTTTGGAGAGAGTTAAGGTATTTCAGTGAAGCCTTGTAAAATATTCGAGGTCGCTTGCAAAATTTTACGCCTAAAACGAAAACACCAACACATTGCTCCCTCATCATATTTAAATTTTTGATTGAAGCTTGACCACGACCAATTCTTCCGCAGTCAATTTGTTTTTACACAACAAACTCAAGCCAAAGAATTGATTCTTCGTTTGGATCGTACGTCACTGCAACCGACACTTCCTGCTCTTGATCATAGTATGCTAATGAGATAAAGCCCAGGAAAAAGTAGGCCTTTTGACCAAAGCACTAAATTAGAACACCCTAAGGGGAGGACCTAGTGCTTTTGAGGTGGATCTCCATGGTTCCTATTCGGAATAACTAAATCGAACACTGGGACTTAAGGTCCTATCGCAAAACCCTCTGTGAATCTAACGATCAGTAGCGAAATTCATGATTCTGACACTAACCTCCGCAATTTACCTATTTCTGGCCATATATTAGCTTTACAAGATTCCATTGGCCAAGAAAAGCAAATGACCTCAAAATCCAACTGTTCCAAATGTTTGAAGAAAGATACCCAATAGACGTAATGAAAAGCCGAGTGTTGATAGGATTACATGTGAAGACCCTCCTTACGTTATTACACTAATTACCATCTCATTTCTAACAAGGCCAGAGTAACGTGTCTCCTACCTAACACTGTTTGTCAACCTACCTGCCATTATCACGCTGTTCTTCCTTCGGAATGCTACAACAATAAACAGGGAAGTAACTACCTGAGGATTACTGAACACCTGGAACAACAGATCCTGCCAGACTGAAAACATTCATGGCCCTTCACAGTATACCACCAAACTGCAGCAAATTATTTTAGTTGCCAGAGTGGTACCACAGCCATTCCCAGCACTGATACACCCAATAGGAGCAACCCATCTATTTGCACTGTCCCTGCAGTTTGTGCACATGATCCGATTAAATCACTATCAAGGCAGGAACACCTCAGCCTTCATGCATCAGCACTCGCTTTCAAGCACTAATACCAGTGATCCCGATCGGCAACACACCCACTTGCATAACTGCAGTAAATACTCTATCGGCTTCTTCATATCTGTTCTCACCCGCTAGACTAGGAATTTTTGCCCCTCGAATATCACCCTGCCAAATGTTCTCAACAATCCAACAAACACGCTTGTACCGTTATCCCTACTCCTGTTCAATGCGAGATCTATTAACAACAAACTGCAATTTGTTTTCTCAGTTAAGTACTCACTAAAACGTGGTGCTCTACTAATATGTTGGATTCAAGGTTAACGATCCCCAACTACCACTTATTTCGATAAGAAGGCTGCACAAGGCGTAGGGGCCGACGTCTTATATATATATATATATATATATATATATATATCACCACCGTCTGGTCCGCTTTACTTTTTGTAGCAGTGCTGCCGTATAAACAAATAACAATAGCTAGCGTATTCAATTTCCCGAAAATATCTTGGTCACCAAATGCATCTTCTTTAACACACACATTTCTTGTCAACTATGTTTGGAGGATGGAAACATTGGGTTACTGAAACTAACATGTCTATTAGCGTACTTGATTTGTTATTTACATTAGGAGTCGTCGACGCAAATATCTCTATGCTGGACTGTCTCACATATAAAGACAACAAAACACTACAATTCATTTTAATAGTAGATAATATCTCAAACCTACCCTGCTCCACATCATTTGACCCATGGAATTCATTGGACACCATTCCAGCATTTGATCCGGTCTGCAGAATGGGATACATCCTCCCTATCCTGCAATAATTGCCTATCAGTAGCACAGTACTATACTAGCATCAATTATGCAATAACCCATCTTACTACACAAAAATAGTTTGTTCCTTACAACGTTCAGATTGCAAAAGAACGCTTATTTTACAAAGAAGTGGCGAAAATTGCTTGCAACCTATTACAAGGCCAGAGACTTTTCCACAATACTGCAAGTGCACGGATGTATCAGCAGGACTGAACATTGAAAAGCGAGGAAGGAAATGGTCTACGAACGGGTAGGAAAAGTAAGAAACTCGTCACTATTGTTCGTCATAGAACTATTCTTCTTCACGGGACTCTTGGATAAAGGTGGTAAACATTTGAGTGTTCAAAATGCTCTTTGTGAGGAGTATGACACCTACTTTGATGTCTCCATTATTTTTGAATTTGACCCCATGCCTGAATAATCAGTCTCGAAATTTCTCTCAGCATTTTTCAGAGATTACTGAAAACTAGCAAAACTTCTCTCAGGTTGGACTTCGACGGCATCCGTTCAAATTCACTTTAACTAGGAGGACCAGAGTTAGCATCAATTTTGTTGCCTAGGTTCTCTTCATCGCTACAAGCCAGTTCTATTTCGGATCATTGGGAAACCATATTCATCACTCCACGTCATAAAAGTGGTCCAAAGCATCGATGAACAATTACCGACCAATTAACCATACTCTTACCATCGCCA